GGGCCTTTGGGGACAGAGGTCCGGGAAGAAGGAAGGCTTTGGTTTTTGGTGGGGTCAGGGGCTTCGGAGAGTGGGGCCCAGGTGGTGGGTGCCCAACTTTCTGCAGAGGGGCCCCTCCAGCTCTTAAAGGCAGCCCTTCTTTGCATCCCGTCTGCTCAGGGAGTCCTTCGCCGTCTGTCTGTGGCTCAAGGTCAAATCATCAAAGGGGTTGGAAGCAGTTGCAGAGCAGATGACGTGGGGAGAGGCACGTCGCTGGCTGCTGGCAGAGAGTCTGGTTGTCTGGCACATCAAGCCTCCATATCATCTTCCTCCTCCATCTTCCTGCTCCTCCTCTTCTTCACCCCTTTCCTCCTCCTCTATGCATCCTTTGTGTTGGGTGGCAGGAACCATGTGCAATGGTATGTGCATCTTAACGTGCAACTGAATGTATAACCCACTGCTTATATTCATACAATGGATGCATGCAGTGAGCACATGCATGCAGATCTGCACAACTGATGTAACTATAACCTTGAATGGAATGTCAATATACAGTAAGATTCCAACCTGTCTATCTCTCTGTCCATCCATCCACTCTTTCATTCATCCAGTCATCTAGCCATCTCTCCATCTGTGCATCCATCCATCCATATAATCATCCACCCATCTCTTATCCATCCAGCTGTGTGTCCGTCCATCCATCCATCCTCTCTCCATCTCTCCATTCATCTCATCCATCGATCTCATCCATCCAGCCACCTATCCATTCATCTCTCCATCTATCAGTCCATTTCTCCATCCATCCATCTTTTCCATCTATGCACCCATCTCTCCATCCATCTCATCCATCCACCTATTCGCCCGTCTGTCCATCCAACCATTTCTCCATCCATCCATCTCACCCATTTAGCCATCTACTCATCTGTCCATCCATCTCTCCAGCCAACCATCTAGTCACCTCTCCAGTCAACCATCTAGCTATCTGTCCATCCACCCATCTTATCCATCCATCTCATCCACCCATCCATCCATCTATCCTACTCACCCATCCATTCATGCCCCTGTTACTTAAGGTATATAGTCAACCCAATCCTGTTTAGAAGGTCACTGAATGAACAATCCATTGTTTATATGCATACAATGTTATGACCATCATAGGCAATTGGATTTTTCCAAGATCCATTAACATGGTTCCACTTCCATTAATGTGAACCAAATGTGGACATTCCACACCAGGAGAAGATCCACCAACGGAAAAAGAAGCGTTCTCATTCTCACATTCTCAGGGTGGGAAAAAAATAATTCTTCATTCCCAGTGATCTCCATGTAAACTCAAGCTACACAAACACATGCCGTCCGGCTTCGAGGGAGTGGGAGTAATTTTGGACGGCAGGAAGGGAATGCTTTCCAATTTATCCTTGTCGAGATGCCAAGACGCTGGGGGTCCGTCGCCTCAAAAGTGTCCCCTCTCCATAAGCGCCAATAGCCTGCTTTTCCCAAGGAGAAGGCTGTGTTTCATGGCCAATAAGAAGCCAATGGCTTTCTTCCTTGTGCCAACGTTGGTGAGTTGCATTCACACCAATTAACAGGAAAGCGCTTTCCTGGCTCTGTCCCATGCTGACATTATGATCCAATCTGCCAACGGTGAACATGAATGGGGCTTTGGGCAAGCATAAATGATTTCCCACGACTTTTGCTGAACCTATTGAATTTTGGCTCAAAACAGGCACCTCTCTATCTACCTCCCTATCTTCTCTGCTCCTTTTAACACATCCCAATTTCTCTCTTTCCCTCCTGCTTTCCCCTTTAGCCCAATTCAGTTGCTGCAAACCGACTTCAGGATACAAATGCACAGCCAGCTCTCCTCTTTTGCAATGTGTATGAGTGCAGGACACTTGCAAAAGTAGACAAACCATGTATTTTCATAATAATAATAATTATTATTATTATTATTTGTACATAACAACACAGCACACATACATATTAATTCCACGTCTCTGGGATTTGTCTCTGAATATCAGGCTCTAAACTCTGGTTTGTACAAAACTAGCTCTGTCTTCCCTTAATGAGCCTCATTTCTTTCTTTCTCGATCATTTCCTCTGGATCATTTGCCCAGCAGCAGCCTTTCTCTTTCGCCTTTAATTAGTCAGTTCCTGTTCCTTCTAGTCACCAGACTTGGTCATTAATTCAATGCATTCCTCTGTGTGATTGCAACTGCAAAATCACATTTTTTTTATAAAGATACCACTTGGCTGGACCCTGGAAAAACCCGGAAAGGCTTCGTTATTTTTTTATGTTCAGGAAAAGCCTTATTAATATGAGAAGCAACTCATAATCTGTTTGGACAGAAAAGGTTGAAGAGGGAGCCACTAATTAAAAGGGCAAGGGTCCTTCCAAAAAAGCCAAAAGCATTTTTAAAGCATTTTAAGTAGCATGATATTAATGAGCATGACTAGAAGAATTGGAAGATAACATGGCAGCATTGGATATGTATTGGTTCCGGAAAGTGAGGAAAGATGCACAATCCAACTTCAGTCGGTGATGCGGTCTGTTGTTTGCTCCATTCTGGTCTAATAGGTCAGCTGTGAATTGCACAATCAAATACATAGACATTTGGGCTTTTTACATCTGCAGGTGTAATGGACACCTCCACATTCAGTGCACATGCATTTGTACTTAGGATTAACATGTGCAATGTTACACTGTGAGTCATTGCTTTCGAGCTGAAGCCCAATGTTCTGCATTGGGCAAAATTTCCAAACCCTTCCGTAGATGAACTTATGCATCTGTCAGGCTCCAAGAGCATCCCAGCATCCATCCATCTATCCCAACTAATCTATCTATATAATCTATCTGTCCAACAAAATGTAATCTTATCTATCTACCTATTCATCCATCTATCTTTTATCTTATCTATCCTATCTAGCTAGCTAGCTATCCTGTCTATCTATCCATCCATCCATCTATCCATCTGTCTATCCCAGTGGTTCTCAACCTGTGGGTCCCCAGATGTTTTGGCTTTCAATTCCCAGAAATCATAACAGCTGGTAAATTGGCTGGGATTCCTGGGAGTTGTAGGCCAAACATCTGGGGACCCACAGGTTGAGAACCACTGGTCTATCCTATCTAATCTAATTTATCTAACATAACGTAATCTTATTTATTTATCTACCTATCCATCCATCTTATCTTATCTATCCTATCCTATCTATCTTTCCTGTCTGTCCATCCATCCATCCATCCATCTAATCTACCTACCTACCTATCTATACATCTGTTTTATCTAATCTATCAATCTCATCTAACATAACGCAATCTTATTTATCTACCTATTCATCCATCTATCTTTTATCTTATCTATCGTAGCTAGCTAGTAGCTAGCTATCCTGTCTGTCTATCTATCCCATCTAATCTATCTATCTAATTTATCTAACATAACGTAATCTTATTTATTTATTTACCTACCATCCATCTTATCTTATCTATCCTATCTATCTATCCTGTCTATCCATCTAATCTATCTATCTATCTATCTATCTATCTATCTATCTATCTATCTATCTATCTATCTATCTATTTACCTACCTATCCATCCATCTATTTTATCTGATCTAGCTATCCAATGAAATATAACATATTGTTGAACACTTTCATGGCCAGAATCACTGCGTTGTCGTAGGTTTTTTTCGGGCTATATGGCCATGATCTAGAGGCATTCTCTCCTGACGTTTCGCCTGCATCTATGGCAAGCATCCTCAGAGGTAGTGAGGTCTGTTGGAACTAGGAAAAAGGGTTTATATATCTGTGGAATGACCAGGGTGAGACAAAGGACTCTTGTCTGCTGGAGCTAGGTGTGAATGTTTCAACTGACCACTTTGATTAGCATACAATGGCCTGACTGTGCCTGGAGCAAACTTTTGTTGAGAGGTGATTAGATGTCCTTGTTTGTTTCCTCTCTGTTGTGCTGTTGCAATTTTAGAGTTTTTTAATACTGGTAGCCAGATTTTGTTCATTTTCATGGTTTCCTCCTTTTTGTTGAAATTGTCCACATGCTTGTGTATTTCAATGGCTTTTCTGTGTAGTCTGACATGGTGGTTGTGAGAATGGTCCACCATTTCTGTGTTCTCAAATAAAATGCTGTGTCCAGGTTGGTTCATCATGTGCTCTGCTATGTCTGACTTCTCTGGTTGAAGTAGTCTGCAGTGCCTTTCATGTTCCTTGATTCGTGTTTGGCAATGCTGCGTTTGGTGGTCCCTATGTAGACTTGTCCACAGCTGCATGGTATACGGTAGACTCCTGCAGAGGTGAGAGGATCCCTCTTGTCCTTTGCTGAACATAGCATTTGTTGGATTTTCTTGGTGGGTCTGTAGATAGTTTGTATGTTGTGTTTCCTCATCAGCTTCCCTATGCGGTCAGCGGTTCCCTTGGTGTATGGCAAGAACACTTTTTCCTCTGAGTGGATAATATAACGTAATCTTATTTATCTGTCTATCCATCCATCTTATCTCTTATCCATCCATCCATCCATCCATCCATCCATTTAATATATCTAATCTATCTACCTGTCCATCCCTCCATCCATCTAATTTTATCTAATCTAATCTATCCATCCATGCATCTTATTTTATCTAATCTAATCTATCCTGCCTATCTATCTGTCTGTCTGTCTATCTATCTATCTATCTATCTATCTATCTATCTATCTATCTATCTAATCTTTCCATCCATCCATCCTATCTAATCTATCTTATCCTATCTATCTATCATCTATCATCTATCCTTTCTCTCTCTCTTTTATGTGTAGATCTTCGCACTTTTGTGAACACCACAGGCATTGGATTTTTGCAAGATCCAGTAATTGCCTGTACAAACGCATGCACAGCTCTATCCTCATTGGCTTTGGGAGCAATCGATATTCTAAATGTCATCTACAGTCAACGCTGACCTTGGCATGACAAGGAGAATGACCCATGACCTGGGGCAGTCTGGAGGTGGCTCTCCATTTCTGGCCATTTGTGGCCTTCAAAACTCCCTGAACCCAGTCCCGCCTTGCCTCCCTGCCTCCCTTGTTTCATAGAGGCTGCCTGCCGCATTCTTCGTTCTCCATCGCCTTGGGAATTGAACTGGATTTTATTTTATTGACCTGGGAGGAAGTCCCGGCTGCAGTCTGCTGGAAAGGCACTTTGTCTGGCAGGATGCATAATTGAAGCCGTATAGATCCTTTTAAGTGCTTCTTGGGCGGGTAATGGACCCTCTGCGGTGAGCCGGCGGCAGCCGTTCTCCTCTGACCCGGCAACACTCTGTGCCTGAAAGCATTTTCTGTGCGGTGCCTCCATGCTCCCTGTCCTTGGGGCCTGAAAGGTGAGCTCCTTCCAGTAAGACCCATCCCTCCCAATGGTTTGTTGTGTTACTGTTTGTCCAGGTTTTATTTGGAACACTGTTGAAGTTCTGGAACCATTTCCCGGAAACACCTCCAGCTCCTTCCATGTCAGTTGGGCAAGGGAATCTGTGCCAGGTCTTTGTTTTGGAGCTTTGGGAACTGTCCAAAGTCCTGAAGCCCATCTGCTCAGTAGATTCAGCACCTCGGAGAGCTCCTGGGGTGCAACCTAGATCCATTGGTTCTTTGACTTAATGGCTTGGCAAAATTTCCCAATGCAGATGGTTTTCTTTTCATTTCGGCCAGGGGTTCTACGTAGCGTGATAGATTAAAATCCAGTATCCCCCCCCCCTTTTTTTAGCACAATTTCCCAGTTTGTCATTGATGACTTTGTCACAAGTGATTGTCTTCCTGTTCTTGTTGGCTCTATTTCAAACTCTTAAGCTTTCAAAATGCGAATCATGTGCATGTTGGAAATGGTCGTCACAAACCGAGAACAGCCCTCCATTTCTAATTTAAAACGTCATAGCAAATAGCCCTGTGTTGGCTTGGTTTGATAGTCACCAAGTTGGGTGCTATGTTGAAGTCAACCAAAGTAAGTTGCATTTCAGGTTCTGCTGAATATAGATGAACATATTTAAAATTAATACATAACCATGAGTAATATTAATAGAAACAATTTAACCAGTTTGACTAAAGTACAAATTCTTGTAATTTCACGTTTTTATTCATCACCTCAATGAAGTAGCACAAGGCATATAATAGGTTGGTAGTTGCCTTTGCTTAAGGAGGGGAAAATTTGAGTATGTTTTTGATTTTTTCTTTATTTTTATCATTATTACTATCAGTATGTCAATCTAAACATCCAAGCCAAGTTCACATCAAACACACAAAATCATCAAGGAGAAACAAGGAGGGAGGGAGGGAGGGAAGGAGCATAGAAGGAAGGAAGGGACGGATAGAAGAAAGAAAGGAGGGAGAGAGAAGGAAGGAAGGAAAGCAGGAAGAAAGGAGCGAGAGAAGAAAGAAAGAAAGAAAGAAAGAAAGAAAGAAAGAAAGAAAGAAAGAAAGAGAGGGAGGGAGGGAGGGAAGCATGGAAGGAGGGAAGGAAGGACAGAAAAGAGGGAAGGAAGAAGGAAGAAGGAAGGAATGAGCATAGAAGGAAGGAGAGGAAGAAAGGGATAGAAAGAAAGGAGGGAAGGAAGGAAAGCAGGAAAAAAGGAGTGAGAGAAGAAAGAAAGAGAGAGGGAGGAAGGGAGGGAGGGACAGAAGAATGGAAGGAGGGAAGGAAGGACAGAAAAGAGGGAAGGAAGAAGGAATGAGCATTTAAGGAAGGAGAGGAAGGAAGGAAGGGACGGATGGAAGGAAGGAAGGAAGGAAGGAAGGAAGGAAGGAAGGAAGGAAAGAAAGCAGGAAGGAAGGAGCAAGAGAAGAAAGAGAAAAAGAAAGAAAGAGGGAGAGAAGGAAAGAAGGAGGGACAGAAGAATGGAAGGAGGGACAGAAGAATGGAAGGAGGGAAAGAAGGACAGAAAAGAGGGAAGGAAGCAGGAAGAAAGGAGTGAACATAGAAGGAAGGAGAGGAAGGAAGGAAGGGACAGATTGAAAAAAAGAAATGAAGGAAGGAAGGGACAGATAGAAGAAAGGAGGGAGAGAGAAGGAAGGAAAGCAGGAAGAAAGGAGCAAGAGAAGAAAGAAAGAAAGGAAGAAAGAAAGAAAGAGAGAAGGAAGAAAGGAAGGAACGAGAGAAGGAAGGAAGGAAGGAAGGAAGGAAGGAAGGAAGGAAGGAAGGAAGGAAGGAAGGAAGGAAGGAAGGAAGGAAGGAAGGGAGTGTGAGAGAGAATGAAGGAAGTCGGGAACGAAAGAAGGAAAGACAGAAGAAAGGGAAAGAGATACTTCTTCTTGAGAGCCCTGGTAGGCAGAAAAGTGATCGTGAAATCCCTTTATTAAATAAAACCAATGAATATTAAATAAAACCAATGGAGGCTGAGAGGTGGGAGAAAAGCAGTGGAGAAAAGGAAATCCTATGATATAAAGTATAGAGGGCTGCACAGAAGGACAGCAAATAGACTGTTTTGCAGAGGGAAATTGGCCACAGCAGCCCTTCCATTTTACAAAGCAGGGCGGGAGGAAATGTGGCTCATCTTAGGAGAAAAAAACAGGCAGTACTAATAGTCTGGAGACAAAGCCCTGAAAGGAAATGCTTTTTGTTTTGAGAAGCTTTAAGAATCAATGTGGAATGTGCAATGCCCTCTCCATTGTGTCGCCTTCCTGCTGGCCATCTGCGAGAGAGAAGGATCCTGTCTGCAACAATGGACGCTTTGCCAGCATTTCCTCGTCAATAGGATTTTTAATTGTTGGGAAGTTTGGAACATTCTTTGGTGAACATTAAAGTCCTGAGTGGTTCCTTCAAAGGTGGACTCAGGGGCACTTTTTCATCCCAGCAAAGACATAAAGCAAGAGCAAAGATCGAAGAGAGGAAATGCCTGGGGTGTGTCCTACAAAATAGGGGAAAGAGGGCAAATGACAGCTCCCAGGATTCCAAAGACATCTAAAGTGGTGTCAAACCGCATTAACTCTGCTGTGTAGATGCACCCATCGTTGCCATCCCTTTAGTCCAAATGTCCAAACTTTTGAGAACAATCCATCCGATCCATCCGGACAAAAAGAAGCTGAGGAACAATAACAAAAAAATCCCAGCTCCTTCATATGCAAAGCAAGTGAGGCACAAAGAGGAAAATGGCTTTTGATATTATAATTCTTTCCTGGAAGAGGCAGGACTCAGCAAATCCTATGATAATTGGAGCCGCCTGACAAGGGATGGAAGGGCCCTTTACATGCGCTTTAGCTCTCCTTAGAAATGATTTATTCGCAAGCGGATTTCAAAAACTGAAATCTCAGCATCATATAGACTTAAGAGCAAACAATGCTAGGGGTGTTTTATATGAGAAGCAGAAATGGAGAGGAAGAGAAGACAGGTCACCCCCTCCTTTGCCCCATTTGAAGTGATAATGCAAAAATCCATCGCTGCATTTCTTTCATGTTTGGAGAAAAGCAAAGATGCAAAGCAGATGAATTGGCCATTCATTCCCAGTTTGTGGCTGGTTGCTGCTTTTTCCCTGGAGGTGATGGCATGATTGTTTCCCATTTCCCCAGAATGTCATTTTGGGTGAAACCAAAGGGTCCTTTACATGTGTTTATACCAGGCATGGGACAGCTTCGGCCCTCCCCCAGGTGTTTTGGACTTCAACTCCCACAATGCTATGGAACCCAAACTAGGAGTTGTGGCTTGGTGAAACACCAGCATTCTTTGAGTGCAGAGAAGGCTGAAGGCCACGCCAAACTACAATTCCCATCGCATTGAGCCATGGTAGTTTAAGTGGTGCTCGACTGCATTCACTCCTGCATTAGTTGACCTTCAAGGGCCTCCTGTCCAATGGAGTCCCTGCCCTTTTTTCTTGCACATGGGAAGCACTGAGTGGTGAGCAAGACTGAAAGCTCACTTCCTTTCTCTCGATTCCTTTCTCCACAAAGGCACCAAGGAGTCACGAGTCTCTCCCCAAAGACTTCTGGAAAAGCCCTTGGTGAGAGAGCTCACATGTCTTGAGAGGCTCACATGACCCCAAGGAGTTCTCCTTGGGAAGAACGGACTTTCTTCCTTTTGGGGGAGGACTCCAGAAGCACCATTCTAGTGGGGAAAGCAGCTGGCTTGAAACATCTGGCCCCAGGGCAGAGTCATAATCCCCATCTTCCTCCCTTTCTTCTTCTTCTTCCTCTACTTCTACCTCTTCCTCTTCTTCTTCCTTCCCTTTTCTTCTTTCTCTTTTTCCACCTCCCCTTTTTCTTCCTCCACTTCCTCCTCTACATCCTTTTCTTTCTCCACCACCTCCTCTACATCTTCCTCCTCTTCTTCCTCTTCCTCCTCCTCCTCCTCCTCCTCCTCCTCCTCTTTTCTTCTTCCTCTTCTTTCCACCCTCCTCCTCCTCTACATCTTCTTATTTCCTTCCTCTTCTTCCTCCTCTTTTTCTCTTCTTCCTTTTCCTCTTCTTATTCCTCCTCTTTCTCTTCCTCCTCTTCTTCCTCTCATGTTCTTTTTCTTTTTCTTCTCTCCTTTTCCCCTTCTCTTCCTCTTCCATTTCCTCCTTTTCTTCCTCCTCCTCCTCTTCTTCTTCTCTCCTCCTCCTCCTCCTTCTTCTTCTTTCTTCCTTTTCCTCATATTCCTTCTCATTATCTTCTTTCTCTTCTTCCTTCTTTTCCTCTTCTTCCTGCTCCTCTTGTTCCACTTTCCTCTCCTAAAAGGGATTCATTTTGCTGCCCCTTTGGTTGTTCTTGCAAACAGCCCTCTGTCCAAAGGGATGCCCCTATCTCATTCTCCTGATGCAGCAAAACCTGCCTTTCCCAGCTATGGTCAGGAACAGCAGGTTTATGACAGTTATGGAAAGGGAAAGGGAGGTGGACTCCCATTATCCCTGGGGTCTTGTGTTGAGACAAATTCAGGAGGCTGGCTTAGTTCAGAGGAGACTCTGGTAAGGATTGTGGCCAAATTAATTGCTGTAGGCAGGGATCTATATAAGGAAGAGATGATGATGATGATGATGATGATGATACATTTTATTTATTGCTCGCCTCTCCTGATGGCTCAAGGCAGGATACAACAAATTAAAAAATAAATGAACATAGCAAGTCAATAAATGGCATAGATAAACACACGCACAACACACACACACACCTCTGTGTGTGTGTGTGTATGAAAATTTATACCAAACACACCTTCAGAATTGAGCTATAGTGGTAACAGAATGCAAATCAAAACTCATGATTGAAATTTGACTGGTTTGGCCTGCCAGAAGAGATGAGTCGTCAATTGTATTTTAAATTCTGACACTTTGTTTACCTTATTTATCTTATTATTATCAATAATTATTAATATTAGTATTCTGTTTCACGTTTTGGTTTTTGTAACCTATTTCTGTTTGGATATTGTTATGGTTCTCCATTCTGGCTTCACTCTGTTTCCTTTTGTATGCCATCCTGATATCACCAACAAAAGGTCGATTGTAAATAGGATCTCGATCTCTTGATTTGCCTTGCAGATGTCATGGCGGCCGCAGTATCGCAGCTCCAAGTTCCGGAACGTTTACGGCAAAGTGGCCAACCGGGAGCACTGCTTCGATGGGATCCCCATCACCAAGAACGTCCATGACAACCACTTCTGCGCCGTCAACACCAAATTCCTTGCCATCGTGACGGAAAGCGCCGGAGGGGGAGCCTTCCTTGTTATCCCATTGGAACAAGTAAGCCCTCTCTTGCTGTCTCTGGCTTCAAATAGACCTTTGTTCGGTCCAATGGGCTGTCCTTTCAACCCCAAACTGGATGAGGGGAAGACTTCCTTTCAGTTTGGCAAACTCCAAAAAAAAAAGCCTCTCCATTTGGAAACTGAAGCTGGTCACGCTTCTCATATCTGGCATCTCAAGATCTGAACTCCTCCAAAATTCAAACTGGAGAGAGTGGGTGCATCTACACGGTAGAATGGATATGTTTTGGGATTGCAAAGGAATGATTTGGAGATGCAAAAAGGAATGACTTTGGATTGCAAAGGAGTGATTTGGGATTGCAAAGGAATGAGCTGGGTTTGCAAAAGAATGATTTGGGATTGCAAAAAGGAATGACCTTGAATTGCAAAAAGGTGATTTGGGATTGCAAAAAAGAGTAATTTGGGATTGCAAAGGCATGTCCTGGGATTATACAGCATTAATTTAGGATTGCGGCTGGTCTTGGTTCCCTGATTTAAAACTGCAGTAACCCATACCTCCCTCTCCTTCTCCCAGGGTGCATCTACACTCTGGAATTGATGCAGTTTGGTGACACTTGAATGTTTGTGGCCCAAGACTATGGAATCCTGGGAGTTGTAGTCCTACGAAGCCTTTCTCTGTCAACTAGTACAAAGTACAATTCCCAGGACTCCATAGCCTTGAGCCACGGCTGTTCAAGTGGTGCCAAACTGCCACCATTCTATAGTCTAGACAAGACACAGGCAGACTTGGGCCCTCCAGGTGTTTTGGACTTCAACTCCCACAATTCCTGGCCTCAGGCCCCTTCCTTTCCCCCCTCAGCCTCTTTAGCAATGCAAATACAGGGATTCCAAGACCCCAAACCCAAAGTGCTTCTGGTCCCAGGCATTTTGGATCAAGGAGACTCAAGCTGAAGGTTAAAGCATCTGGATGGTTTGAAATGCATGCCATGCTCCACCGTGCATGTTAGCTCCTTTTCCTGGAATCGCTTGTGTGCCTGTTGAGGCGATTTGCCAGACATGCCAGTGTAGGTTTTAAAAATTAAAGCATGCAAGTCTGGGTCATGAAATTTTAAACAGCAAGCCATTTCAGGGGGACTTGAGAGGACCATTGGGAGCACTCAGGGGCACCTGTCAGCAATGCCTGAGTCATTCCTGGCTTTGCTTGCACCTGGAAAGGTAGGAGGTGTGTCTCTTGGCAGCTGGAGGGCAAAGGGGTGAGTTTGGGTTGCAAAAAAGAGTGGTTTGAGATTACAAAGGAATGACCTATGATTGAAAAAAAAGAGCGATTTGGGATTGCAAAAAAGGAAGATTTCAAATAGCAAAGGATTGACCTGAGATTGCAAAAATGAGTTATTATAGATTGCTAAAGGGACAGATTTGGAACTGCTAAAAAGAATGATTTTAGATCACAAGGAATGACCTGAGGCTGCAAAAAGAAGTGATTTAAGATTGCAGAGGAGTGATTTGATATTGCAAAGGAAGTGATTTAGGATTGGAAAAAGGAGTGATTTGGGATCGCAAAGGAGTGATTTGCTGTGATTTTTAGCTCTGAATACGTTTGAATGGATTTTCTGTGAATTTTAATATGGTTATGTTTAATTCTGTTTCAGTGTATGCATACGTGTATATTTTAAATTATGTGGTCATAATTTTAATTGTAAGCCGCTTTGAATCTTCTTTGGGAGAGATAAAGCAGCGTATAAATAAACATAACAACAACAGCAACAATAACAATAACAACAACTCTGGCACAAGCCACCACGGTCCCAGTGGTGATTGGCACACTGGGTGCAGTGCCTAAAGACCTTGGCCTGCACTTGATAACAATCGGCGCTGACAAAATCACCATCTGTCAGCTGCATAAAGCCACCCGACTCAAATCTGCACGCATTATTCGCTGATACATCACACAGTCCTAGACACTTGGGAAGTGTCCAACGTGTGATCCAAACAAAAGCCAACAGAGTAATCTTGTTTGCTGTGTACCAATTTTGTTGTGTATCTAATAATAATAATAATAATAATAATAACAACAACAACAACACAAGCCAGTAAATGTGGTCCCAGTGGTGATCAGCACACTGGGTGCAGTGCCTAAAGACCTTGGCCTGCACTTAAACACGATCAGCACTGACAAAATTGCCATCTGCCAACTGCAGAAGACCACCTACTGGGATCTGCATGCATTATTCGCCAATACATCACACAGCCCTAGACACTTGGGAAGTGTTCGATGTGTGATTCAATACAACAGCCAGCAGAGTGATCTTGTCTGCTGTGGACTCATATTGTTGTGTTTCTAATAATAATAATAATAATAATAATAATAATAATAATAATAATAACTTGTAAAGGAGTGATTTGGGATTGCAAAAATGATTGATTTTGGATCAGAAAGGGGGTAATTTGGGATTGCAACTGGTCTTGGTTCCCTGCTTTACAATTACAGTCGCTCATGTCTACCTCACCCTTTCCCAGGGTGCATCTACACTGTGGAATCAGTGCAATTTGACACCACTTTCACGGTCATGGCTCAGTGCTGTGGAATCTTGGGAGTTATAGTTTGCCCTCTTTGGGGGAGATGACTTTGTGACATCACAAGTGCCGTGATTCGTATCATGGGCGCAGATCCTTAGCTCTTTTCCTTGCAGGACTCCTTCAGAAGGACTCCCTGGTGGATCGGGCCCTTTGTCTTTGCTCCAATTATTCCAGTCGTGCCTGTGTTGAAGAATGTGCTCCTTTTTCTTACAACAGATCATATTTGCTTTGCCTTGAGCCGGCTTCCGGAGTGTGCGGCAGAGTGGGAGGCTTTTTTGGCTTTGGGTGAAGGACACAGAAGCGTTTTCTTTTTAAATGTCTGATCTGCCGGGCGGGGGAACAGATGCCCCGAGAGAGAAGGCAATGTTCTGGATGGTGGGAAACAGCCATTCTCATACAACGTGGCTCTTGAATCTCATCTGCTCCTTCTCTGGAGTTTCTAGGTTACCTTAATTTCTTTCTGCTAAATATGGAAGCATATTAATTGGAAAAATGGAGGCTGCTGGTTTGGAGAGGCTCCCGCAGAGCGCCGTAAAACTAAACCAGACACTCCTTTGTCCTTATTAATGATGCAAATGCTGTCTCCAACACTATATTTAATCTACGTCCGGAGACTTAAGCCCAGAAAACCCACTTTGCCCAGTGTTTCACAGGTGAAAACAAGGGTGCCTCTGAGCATAAGAACATGTTCCAGTGTTTATTTATTTATTTGGAACATTTGTACCCCGTCCTATCTCAATCTCCGAAGAGAGACTCAGGGCGGCTACCAACAAGCAACAATTCGATGCCGAAACAATAAAACACATAATAAAATAAAATCCATACATACAAATCAATATAAATATAAATTAAAAACAGTTCACCAAGTTAAAACGTCATCCAAATCCATCCTAAGTTGCCGACTAGTTGCCTTCCTAGCCACATTCTCTGGCCACCCCAGGCTTTTTGAGGGTCATGGCTTTGTCTTATGGAAGCCTGGGCTTTATAGTTTGGCAAGGTGCTTAGGATCCTTCCTACTTTTTTTGGAGGATTTTGTGCATGGTCTTTCAGGTTGCTTCATATCTCCTGCAGAATGCATTGAAGGATTTTGGGGCTCAACCTCTTTGGTTGTGTCAAACTCTATTAATCCTACTGTGTAGACAAGGGGCCCTCATACTTTTAAAGCAGAGGGCAAGCTCATGTCACTTTGACTGTTGAGGGGCCAGAATATAGGTTGTTGTTGTTGTTGTTGTTGTTGTTGTTGTTGTTGTTGTTGTTGTTGTTGTTGTGTGCCTTGAAGCCATTTCAGACTCAGAGCGACCCTAGGATCTCACAGAGTTTTCTTTTTGAGACTGATTCAAAGGGGATTGACCTTTGTTTCCTGCTGAGGCTGAGAGTGTGTGACTCAGTTAAAGCCACCATTCAAACTCAAACTGCTATTTCATGCTTTCTGGATTCTTTCCCTCTTTTTTTCCTACCTCCTTCTCTTCCTCCCTTTCTTCTCTTCCTTCCCTTTCTCTTTCCAAGCAACTTTTCTTCCTCCCTTTCTTCCCTTCTTTCTTTTTCTTACCTACTTTTCTTCCTCCCTTTCTTTCTTCCCTTTCTTTTTCCTACTTCCTTTTCTTCCTCCCTTTCTTCTCTTCCTTCCTTTTCTTTTTCCTACTTTCTTTTCTTCCTCCCTTTCTTCTCTTCCTTCCCTCTCTCTTTCCTACCTCATTTTCTTCCTTCCTCCCTTTCTTCTTTTCCTTCCCTTGCTCTTTCCGATCTACTTTTCTTCCTCCCTTTCTTCTCTTCCTTCCCTCTCTCTTTCCATCTACTTTTCTTCCTCTCCTTCTTCACTTCATTCCCTCTTTTTCCTACCAACTTTTCTTCCTCCTTTTCTTCTCTTCCTTCTTTTTTCCTACTTCCTTTTCTTCCTCCATTTCTTCTCTTTCTTTTTCCTACCTTCTTTTCTTTCTTGCTCTTTCTTTCTTTCTCCCTCTATTTTTGAGGGAGAAAGAATGGGGTGGAAAGGCTTCCCTCCATTTTGGAGAGAGATAGAAGAGAGGAAAAGAAAAGAGAATTAAGAAGCAAGAGGGGCGTGGAAAGGATGCCTTCAGTTTGGAAGAAATAGAGAGTAGAAGGGAAAGGAAAGAAGATTTAAGGAGCCAGAAGAAGGTGGCTGCACTGGCACTAGAAAGAGCAAGAAAGAAAAGAAAAGTATGGAAAAAAGAGGGAATGAGAAAAGTAGGAAAGAAAGGTAATCTACAGTTTAGAACAGGCAAGGGCAAACTTTGGCTGTCTGGATGCTCTGGACTCCAACTCCCACAATTCCTAACAGCCTCAGGCCCCTTCCTTTTCCCCCTCGGCTGCTTAAGCAAAGTTTGTCCATGCCTGGTTTAGAGCAATGGTCGGGTAAACAACCTTATAGGGTTGGATACGGTTAGCGGATCTTAGTTTGGGGACCCCCTGGTGTAGACAAAACCCGGGTTTCAGACTAAACTT